AACACTGTGTTTCGTGGTCAGTATACGTTTTCTCTGATCTCAGTGTGCAAAGCTTTCATACTGATTACTATTTTACTTAGCATATATGTATTTGAAAGGCCTTCAGAATATCATAACAATAGCAAACACGATTTCTTGTCGGTTATGTTATCAACGTTTAAGTTTATGCTACTAGACTTGTTAGCAAGTAGCGTATATGAATTTTATCATCTAGTACCATTAAGTTATTGTTTATAATATTCCATATCTAGAGAATATCAAAAACAGCTGAGTTTTACATGTTAACATAGCTTTGCTCACTATTTTCGACATTATGATAGAGTGAAATTCTGACATCGGTAAATACTGCATTTGTAGGGTGTGTGTTTGTTCTTTTAGACATAACTTAATTCAACTATCGGTTCGGAGTTATTTTAGGAACTGAAAAATAATCCCTTGATATTTTTCAGGTTACCGGACATGAACAAAATATGTTCATGAATCTAGGCGAAAGTTGATGCATCTTGTAACCCTTTAGAGAAAGGACCGATTACAGTAATCAAGATCAATATTTGAGTTTCTGACTTGATTTGCGTAGTTCAGAAAGACGATAAAGTGGGTAATACAAACATACAGGTAAGCAGTCATATGTACATAAAAGTCCGCAAATGAGTAAAACCTAATAATTAGTTATATGAGAATAAGAAATAGATGGTTGATGAGATCAATAAGGATACGTGAAAATGTAGCTAAATAAGGGTTAGTAGCTAATCCTGCTGATTTGTACAAAATGACTAACAGGATAAAAGTTAGGCTTTTGAAAGTTCAGACCAAAATAAATCTGAGAAGTGTACAAATCCACTACAGTAGCTCGATAGTACAAAACAGAAACTTTTATAATATTCCCAAATACAGATAATTCTTGCCCCTTATACGACGCTTCAATTATGAACGACACTATAAAGATCACTAAACCCTTCAGTGATATAACTGATAATGAACATCTAGATGACCTCAGATCAGAAATAGTACGTATGACTAGTAACCGACTAGTTGCAATCTGTTAAAGCCATAAACTCCAGGGTTTCACCATGTTATGGGCTAAACAGGAACTGTCCACTTACTTTAAATATAGAGAACCTGGTATTTCATTACATCTGCCAAAACTACTTTCTCTTTCTCTGGAAATAGGCATCTATGCTGGAAAATCAGATATATATTACCATGTTTCAAATATCGAAATAAGACCTAATTATACAATTATGATCCTATAAGTATTACCCCAATTATCTCCAAAATAATAGAAAACATTTCATTTGACGAAATACTAGATTACTTACCTGTCTGAGGCTTTTGACAAGTTTATCCAAAAGCCACTCATATCGTACGAAATCAGATATCACTTCCTTGCGTGATTGAATCGTCTCCTCACTCACCAATATCAAATAATTAAACTACCAATCGGATGTTCATCCGGTCACAAGTGGTAACACAAAGTGATGTTTTGGATCCTTTCCTTTTATAGCCTACATAAATACCTGTAATCGTCTCAGCGCCGGCAAACCCACTTTGTATGTCAGTAATCTATCTATTTTTCAATTAAGACCTTGCTTTGTTAGTCCTTATCTCGATTTAAACTTTGTTATAAATGGTAATGAGCTACTAAGGTTTTTTTTCAGTGGTAAACTAAGGACTCGGATACTTTTACGATTTGTCTTGTTCAGAGTAGGTCACAATGTGGACATATAAATTACATCGACTTTTGGGCTAGACACTACATAACTTCCATAACAGTAACTCATGTGTTTTATTGTACGAAGTATGTATTCAACCACTTATAGAATACCGTACTATTGATGTTGGGTGGTTGGAGCTAGTAGTGAAGAAATCTTTTAATCGTTGAGGTACTAGTGCTTTCTGTGAGATTCAAGCTCTCTATCACCAATCCTTACAATCTCAGACGTTTTCCACTGAGCTATTCGGGTAGCATCTGACTTTCTGAGATATTTTGATTCATTGGTCACTGATTGATGATCAATATCCTGTTTGTCTAGTTTTTAATAATGATCTAATTATAAAGACCAAGTTGCAGAATTTCTTGTCAACTACTTAATATCAAAACATAACACATGCTATGTTGATTCACTTAGACTCGATATCCTTGTAGTCCAGTTGTTGTATGTTCATTGTTTTTGAACACACATTCAGTTCTCAGTTTCTTATCAATCAAATGACTGTTAACCCTCTTATTCCGATTGAGAGTCAGAATGCAAATGTATTAGTTTTCATCAATATTACAACTTACCATTAAACCTAAAACCAGTGGATATCAAACAAAGACCACCTTAACCCTAAATATCGGTCATCTTTTGTTATGAATTTCTTTCGGTTGGCCCGTTTTTTCCAACATATAACTAAATTTCTTACTACATAAATCAAAGTCGACACACACCCAGAATAGACCAGCATACGTTCTCTCTCGACTAATCTTCACCAAACGTCAGTAACGTATGTATTATGCTCGTACAGTAGACTATTGAGTTATCTTGAGAAAATAACCGAACTAGCGCATTGTGACATAACTTTAATGGGATATAAAATCATTTGAGGAACCCTAGTTCCATCAGAGCGTGTAAAGTAGAACCAAAGAGCTCGAATAAGACGAAAATTTCGGTAAGATGTACTACCTTCTTAACATAGAGAAGTAAAAATAACTGTGGCTCTCAAAAAATCTAGAGACCTCAGTTACTTATTGACAATATAGATGATATATTGGGTCAATCAAAGTAAGGCGAAATGACAAGTGCACGTGACTGACCAAGAAGTGGCTTTTCCTAGGAATGAGATACATATAATTTGGCGGATTAATTTTCTAAAGAATATAAATAAATGAGTATACATAAACGCCAATTCAGCTTAGCCAATATGCTTTCTTTCTTAAGCTGTCTTTTCAGTCACGTAGTCGATCGGGCTCGTTTTTAAGACGATTGAGTATCAATATTAACTCTCGGACACTGCACATTACAAGAACAACACTGAATAGACAATGAAATATCGATCTTTTTGGATTGCTTTTAAATTAGGAAAGAAGATAGGAACATTCGACCAGTTTTTCTACAGGGTACTTTATAGTTTACCTTTCAGTAATCCATAAATAGATGACCTGTCTGTAATAATCTCACCAGAAGATATACACTGTGACAAATTATGGTTGTTACAACAAGCTCTTCTACTGTTTGTTTTTCCTTCACCTTGGATGCATTAGTGGAAACTATATTATTTATAGTCATACCTCACTTCTTATTCGTTTACTTATTTTCGCTACTTATTGCATAGTTCTTTATTGTGAACACTTTACTCACTTCTACTAAGTACATATCCTGTCCTAGTATGTCTTCTAGTTTTGGGAGCATTCGTTTATTTGAAGAATAAACTTCCTAAATGACTCCACTTTTGGTAGTGTAACTGATATCAAACAGAATATATTATCCTTTTAAATTTGTAATTCTGTGCTGTCAGAAAAACTTATCTTTTGACTTGTGAATATTTAAACATGAATAGCTCATTAGGTTAGATTCCATTTAGATGATCTATGGGAAAAAGATTGCGGGATTCAGTTTAGTTGACTCCTTTACGAATTTCTATTTTACTATTCTGCCGAATTATAAAAGATGCGTTAAATAAAGCTATGCGCGCTGTTTTACCACACTACATTCAGAAACTCTTGCTTAAAGTAGTACAGAATACAGAAACTTCAATTAATAGTTGTTAAGCAGTTAATTAACTATCAAGCATTCCAGACTTATGATTGAAAATATCACATTTTCGATACATTCAAACCACAATCCACTTACGACGGTGCATCATCAGGATGACTATAGTTAATCTTCAAAGATATGTTGCATAATCTACCATCCATATATAGTGTGTTGAAGTAACAATGACATATGTGTATTCCGACCACCCATGAGTTATTTAAAGATAGTGCAGAAGTTAATTAAAGATCCAAGGTATCTAATGGTCTAGGAAGAAAAAAGATAACAGGTATAATGCTGAACTTAACAGCTGTTCCGCTCAGTGACTTTCTGAGAATAATTTCTGTTGTTTGCAAACAGAGCTCCATTTTTTGTACAGCTGTCAAAGAGACGACTAATTTTAGATAAATACACATTTCAGCACCTTGTAATTTAAGTTTCTAGTACAGCGATAGCCGGGTGGTACGTATGACTCTGTATAAATTGACATTAGACGGTGTATGAAAATGTCTTTTAACGGTATATACACTGGTCGTCCTTACATAGTATGTGCAGGGTACTGGAGCCTCACTCTAATGGTGCCCTTCAGGTGATGAGGGAAACTGATGCAATAACTAAAGCACAAAGCTCTACAATAAGGGAAGATTCAAATATTTGTAAACTACGACCAACCTACATTGATGAGCCAACCTCATTTACATCATCATGATGGAAAATAAGCAACAAAAACAATGGACCAGGACCAAAATAATCACGAATCCGATCATTTGGCCATTAAGTACGTCCAGATAATACTTTCTCGAGTGTAAGTCTATTTATCAATAGGTTTTCAGATGTAATACACTTATCACATAGGATTTGAACAAACATGGGTAACAGATATCACCTGAATCTATGTAACATTTTGATTTATCATTTTCTTAATAGTTATATAGGAAGATAGCTACGTACAATTAAGCGTTCAATCTATTTGTGATAAATTCATAAACACAGTCGTTTTGACCAGCGGAAAACGTAACATAAAAGTACGATAACATTTTATCCTGTATCCTTATACGCTTGATAAACACGAAAAATCCTAAGAGCGCCATTCAAACTATGTTCGCAAAACATTTTTAATTATCTGGATAACTAGACGAGAATGTAACACACATTTGTTTGTTGTATTATTAACGTGACTAGATATAAATTATTGCTGGATTCATTTTTACATGAATTTACACTAAATCGCATCACTAGTACTCGGTCAAAAAAATATCAACAACTCTATGCAGATGGTTTATTTTCTTTCTCTTCTTCATTCAAACACTCAATCATATGGTCTGAGTCATTTGTGGTCACCACTTCAGCAGGGACGATATCACCAGAATGTGCTTGTTTCATGTAGTAATATAAACACCTAGGGAACGAAATAGTGATTAGGAAATGGTTTTAGACATATATGGTTAGTTAGTGAGAAATTACATTAACACATAAGATTATTCTTCATTTGTCAATAAATCTTGAATGCAGAATCATTTTATAGGTTTCTCTTTTCGATTTTACTTATTTTTCAAATTTTATTTATTTAAACACATAAATATTGGTATAAGGAAGCACCAGATATATATGCGCCGCACAAATCTCATTTGATTTGTGTGAGGGCTGTAATACTGCCCAGGTGCCCAAACTGAAGCAGGTGGTTTTCTTAGGGGCCCACACACGGAGCCTTTGACCTAAAGGTCTGATCCACAAGGCAGTGGAGCATCGTGAGGAGATGTATTCCCATGGTAGCCGGTGACCAACATTTGGTTCATACGCCATTTGTTCCATCAGGATACTGGAGCCCATGTGCACCATTGGTTTGGAATCAGGGTTTTCCAACTCCCCTAGGTGGACTTACCTTGTCCACAAACCCCGTTAAAGCGCCGGACATTCGCTTTTCGTCCTCTCACTTTCGTAAACAACACCCCCGCCACGAGAAGGCAGTGAGTAGGACTTCCCTGGCAGAGGCTATATATTCGCTGGCCATGTGAGAGCATTTTGAGAGAGAGAGCGGACTCTCCCCACTCTCGGCCGTACCAGGGCATTTGGGGGCATTTTTCAAATTACTTTTCTGCTTATTTATGGTCATTTAGCGACGTATTCGTTGTTATTTTCACATGTTTGCTTTGATTCCTAATTATTTCCTGTGAGATGTATTAACATGAACCGGTACACATCTGTCCCAAATTCCATGTTTTCTGTTTCTGTATAAAGCAGTTTCAAACTTTTTTCAGTGTGGACGGAAATTTTCCTATTTGCAGTCTATAAGAAATAGGGGAATGAGTTTATATGAGAAATAATCAGGTCATTCAGTCAGTCACAACGTAGAACTTCGTACGTACGTACATCAGTTCGAGATGCCATACAACATTAGCACAGCGATGCAGCTGTCGATTCCAACCTCATAGTGGTAAAAGCGGTAAGAGTATAAGCAGTAATCCGAAAGATAAGGGTTTCAAGATGTTATTCAAGGAGTATAATCGAGTGAAAGAAATTCGAAAACAGAAAAAAAGAGACATGAGGAATTCAGAAGATTAGAACTTGGTAGAACACAAAGAGTGGATGCACCTTCGCCATTGCAAACGATTTTAAGCCATGTCATTCAAGGTCTTTAACCATCGATTACTATCATCTCGTGAATCCCAACCAGGTAGTTTACACCTACCAACATGGCTCACTCCACTTGTCAGTGACTTCATGGATTTGTGCCACGTTTTGGTCTGGCCGCCCCTAGCTTTCTTCCAACCTACTCTTACGCTATAAAACATTGCACGTCGGGGCAGTCAGTGGTTTGGCATACGTATGATGAAGTTTCACCACTTCATCAATCGATTTGCCATCCTTACCTAGTACCCGTTTCCTATCAACTACATTACTTACTCGGTGGTCCCAGGATAGACGAACAATGCTTCGAAGACACCTATGATCGAATACTAGCAGTCTACGAATATCCTCTACTCTTATCGGCCATGTTTCACTGCCATAAAGTCGGACGGAACGAACTGTTGCGCAGTAAACCCGTCCTTTGGTTGCTAGACGGATATTTCGCCTACGCCATAAATGACGCAAGTTGGCGAAAGCTAGAAGAGCCTTCTGTATCCGTGCTGAGATTTCGTCACACACTAGACCACAAGAGCTGATGAGACTCTCAAGATAAGTGAAGCAGTCAACACACTCAACTACTTCACTCTCATTCATTAGTTCAAATATCGATGCAACCCAATCCTGAAGTAACATTTTGCACTTCGAGGGGGAGAATCGCATCCCGAACATGCCTGCATAGTTGCTTATAGTGGTCAGAAGACTCTGCATTTTGTCAGCGTCTTCACCGAATAAAACTATGTCGTCGGCGTATTCTAAGTCAACAAGTGAGCCTCCCGGTAAAAGTTCAACTCCTGGAAGTTGAGATGATGAAAGTGTTATCTCTAAAAGCATGTCAACGACAAAATTAAACAAGAATCAGGTGTTGATATTGATATTCAGAGTAACAAGTCGACATCACTGATCATAGGTAAAAGTATGCACTGACGGTTTGTGTTGCAGTTACAAAAGATTAAGTAGACAACAGATAATCATACATATGAACAACAGTAATTACTTTTAGTGAACACTTACGCATCAGTCTGTTGTTTAGGGAATAGAACACGTTCAACTGCACCAGAAGGCATACATATATCGTGAATGGGCTGATCATTTTTGGATAGTTTGTGAGTAACAATCCGAGGCAATTGGTCAGATTCAGATTTTACGACTGGGATTTGATGTCTTCGCCAATCCCCCTTTGATACAACCAAATAAGAAATAAGCTCGCTAGACGGTTCACTTTTGAACTGAAAATCAATTACATTAGAGAACACTGCCGTTCAAATTAAAGAGAAATGAGCGAAATAGTTCCATATAACTTAGTGTAAAACAATCTAGAAAGGTATGAAATAAACAGCTGGGTAGACAGTAAAAAATAATGATGAGACACTATCCTGTTGAGTGTACAACAACTACACGATTTAAATATGAGCTTTACACACAATAAAGAGTTGGACATTAGCTTGACAATGTATAATAAATTTGTTCAGTGAATCTGAACGGAAATGCTATTGATCGACAAGTTTAATGAAAAATACTAACAACCTCATAATAAATATATTTTTGTTATATCCCAATGAGTAGAAAAATTGTATTTCTGATTTAATGTAAGCCACTTCTTCAGAGTAAATAATCTCAATAGACATCAACAATTTCCTGACATCAGACTTGGCATATAACTAATTTATCCCCTCTAAAAGTCAACAGGATAACTAATTCAACAAAATATTTTAAAAATTTATAGAAGTCGGTCAATGGTTCTGTCATTTCTTTGCTCAATATCAAATAAAGGAATACTTACTCGCGTTAATCCAAAGTTATAGTATCGTACAACAATGTTACAGTTGGAATCCTTCTTTCCACAAGTCTGAGCATGAGGACACTAAAAATAATTACAAAGCATTAACAATTCATTTTAATTTACGTAATTTCGTTTTCGTTTGCAATATTATTGCATAAATATGTCAGCAATGATATTGGAAAGTGGGGGATGTGGTGTAGTAAATTGCAACTGAAGGAAATCAGCTTAGTGGGAACTGAGACACCATTGGAGTATTTATAATTTGCAAGTAGCACATCGTGAACTAAGGTACAATAGTTACAAATCTTTAATGAATTTAGTAGTGGTACTACTAGTAGTATGACAGAATACATTATTTTTAATCCCACAACTGACACTACATAAGAATATTTAAAGGTACAGTCATTAGACTAGTCTATCAAATGACTAGTTTGAAATTTCTACACTTCTATGAAAATAAATGGAATATTTATCAGCAACAATAACTTATAACAAAGTTGAGTGTGCGAAATTTGTTATATATAGAAACAACAGACAAAGTTGCACAAAACATTCTGCCATAATAAATAACGTAACTTTGACACTTAAAAGTTCAAAATTAATACTAACGATTACTTACCGGACTGAAAATATGAACATCAGATCCCCCATTTATGCGCTGTAAAAAATTTTTGAATAACGCGCTTGAATGCTCTTTTAACAAAGTGTGGAGAGCGATTATTACACTTGAGTGGTAAAATAAGCAGTACTATATAATCCTAAATACTTGTTAAATTTCAACATAGAAAAGATTACAAAGCAATTAAAATGTGCTTATGGGACCAAGTAACAATTTCGCACAATCATAATCAGGAAATATATAAATTATATACTCGTAATCTACAGAGAAAATATTAACACATTTACCAATCAATAACTATTACTCAGACTTCAAAACAGACAGTAAATTGGAATTCTTTCTCTCTTTTTCAATCTTTCCCCATTGAGAGAAGTGATATGTATATACAACGATCCACTTACATAAAAATAACATGGAATAGGCAGTTAATTTAATTCTCTACTTGATTACATATTGAGGGAAAAAGAAACCTACCTATTTTTCGTCACTCATATTTTGGGTATCGATTACAAAAACATATTTTTCAAAAGAAACTAATTTAAAAACTATCTGAAACAGAAAAGATGGAATGTGTCTAGTAGTAAAATTCGGGACGCACGTTTCGCCTTGTGAAGGATGGCTCGTTGGCAAACTCAAGGAAGCCTCAAGAAGCCCAGAAGAAGCCGAAGACATTCCATCCAGTCACCACTAGGGGAACATTCCAGAATGTCGACGTGTAGCTTCCCTATTGGATGAATAAGAAGGACCCCCTATGTGCCTATTGGCTGTCCGAAATGATTTGCTTTTAGTCAAAAACTATGAGTACATGAGATTTTTGTACTATATTTGACACAGTTTAGGGAATAAAATTCCTACTTACTAGTCTTCTGTCTTCTCTCTTGCGACGTTGCGCGTTCGATCTTTCAAGTAGTCTAGTAGTGCGCGGCATAGCAAGAATCTAAAGCTCTAGATATAACACCTTGTTTGGGACTCGTCAGTCGGATGTACCTGCATCCAAGAACTGAACAAACGAGTGAAAAGCATTAGAGTTGATGAGCAAAAATACATGGAAGACCTAGCAACGACAGAAGAAAAGTTGCAAGATAACGAAGTATTGATGATCTATATGATACAACCAAAATGCCAGAGGGACAGGTGGGTAGAGTACTTTGAAGAGTTCTTGAGTACATTGACCCCACTGAACCCACCAGACATCAAGGCGGTAAACAAAGACCTCCTTTATATGTCACCTCGCCAACAACAGGAATCAGTAAGGCCATTCGACGAGTCATGAGTGGGAAAGCAGCAGAACTGGATAGCATACCGACTAAAGCCCATAAAGTCAGATATAGATATAACTGCAAACATGTTAAACATTCTTTTCCTAAAGATTTGGGAGGAAGAACATGTAGTAACAGGCTGAAAAGAGGTACACCTCATAGAAATACTAAAAAAGAGAGATCCTAGTAAGTGTGAGAAATACGGATACATGACACTAGTGTCAGCACCAGGCGAAGTTTTCAGCAGAGTGTTGCTAAACCGGGTGAAAAATTCAGTGAAAGCCCAACTTCCAAACCGATAAACTGACTTTCGAAAGAATCAATCATGTACTGCCCTAATCGCGACACTGCAGATCATTGTTGAACAATCAGTTACATGGAACTCATTGCAATACATAAAATTTCTTGATTATGAAAAGCCATTCAACAGTGTGGCTAGGAAAACCTTGTGGGATCTTCCACACTGTAGAGTACCTGAAAGGATCATTACTATTATACGGAACTCCTACAGTGGACTAAGTTGCAGATTCGGGCATAGACGGCAGTTTACAGATGCGTTTCGAGTGAAGAGTGGTCCAACAAAAGACTGCTTACTCATGCCTGTTGTCTTTCTTCTGTTTGCCTATTAGACTATGAAGACCACATCTCAGAAGGAGCATGGAATACAGTGAAAGCTATGGATCCAGTTGGATGATTTAAACTTTATAGATGACCCATCCCTCCTAAAACACACAGTAAAAAAATACAAGCGAAGACAACTGTGGTACCACTGTGCCTCAGCATCCACAAGGGTAAAAAGGATCCTGCGACACAAAACAGTGAGCAGCCACCAAGTCACATTTGATGAATATCTCGAAGAGGTAAAAGTCTTCACGCATCCGGGTAGCATCGTTGATAGCCAAGAAGAATCTGATGAAAATGTGAAGGTGCTGACTATCAAAGAAAGGGTGGTGTTCCTATGATTGAAGAACATCTGGAACTCAAAACAACGGTCAGCAAACACACAAGTCAGAATTTTCAATACGTATGCCAAGAAAGTTCTATTGTATGTTGTCTAAACTTGGAGAACGACTAAAATCATCATCAAAAAGGTACAAGTATTTATAAACAACTGTCTATCAAAGATCCCAAATCCAATGGGAAAAGACCATCAACAACAAGAACCAATCAGCTTACAACTGAGGAGAAAATCAGGGAAAGACGCTGCGGGTGGATTGGTCACAAATTGCGGAAATTATCAAACTACATCACAAAGCAAACCCTAACATGAAATTCTCAAGGCGAAATTAAAAGCAGACCGAAGAACATATCGCCCCGGGAATGGGAGGCAGGCATCAAGAGCATGAATAGAGAGAACTGGAAAGGAGAGTCCTGAACAGAGCTTGTTGGCGATTCTTGATCAGTGGCCTATGTCTCAATAAACGTAATAGACTTAAGAAAGTAAGCTGGCAACTTAATACACCTTATACAATCCCAACTTATGGTTTTTCCCCACAATTATTATGATATTTCATTGTTAACACTTGTTTTTCGACAACAGAGTGACACATTTACTGTTTGTCTATGAATGGGCAACTTGAAAATAAATTCATTGAGAAAGGAATTGCTTCTCTAACTTTTGTAGATTTACTAAAAATAAATCGAATATAACTTCTAGATACAATACCAAGGCACTGATCACTTGAAACAAAAAACTTCTATTTGTAACTTATGTTTCTGATATGGAAATGAACAACCTGTACTGAAATTACTATCTCAAAGCACTGACTACCTAGTTACCATAAAGGAGTCCAACACAAGTGTACTACACCCAGTTGAACTAGAAATCTTAACATTATTCATTAAAGCTTAAAAAAGGATGTGGGATGAAAGTACAAGGACAAACTTACTGATTCTTAAATTTAGCTAATAAATTTCATAATTAGTAGGCAATTTAAAAAATCAAATTAACTAACCAGAAAGTCTCTTGCTTCAAGTATTGCCTGAAATCCGGACTTTGTTCCTTGTTCAATAAAGACGAGGAAATCAGTTGTTTTCTCCCACAAAGATGAAATAACACGTGAACGAGAAGATTTGCATGGGATTTCCAGTAAAGTGTTAGCACAAACTACCAAATTATATTGATTCTTTTTAAAAAAAGAAAAATGAAATCGACGAAACAGTAAGTTAAATTTTGTTTCTGTTCTTCCTTTTAAGAAAGCTACGGAAGTGTGATTAAGTAATCATGGTAATAAACATGGTTTTAATTGGAATAAAACAAAAAACAAACAAAGAGCAGCATTAATACTGAGAAATAGGGATTTGTAGAGTACAGCAAACTACCTTACAGACACATTTCAATCCAAAAGATGCTTAAACAAGCACTTTTTCGAGGTTGATAACAACTAGATGCAGAAAACAGAAAACTTGATGGAGTCCTAATTGTGATTAAAGTGAACTAAGCATTAGTGGATTTCAGTAACGTAAATAAAATATTTCGCGTGATCAACCTTTATACACCAAAAGTAATGTCATACTGTTCCCCGGAACAATGATTTAGTTTTTTGTGGTGGTATCTGACATATGATATGATAGCTATCAGAAGTTTATAGTTTACATAACCATCTGGACTTATAGTAAATCCAAAGAATTTTCTATTACGTACCTGCGGTAAATTAGACAGTTAATCCATTATGAAAAAGTATGTGTGAGTCTGGTTGAATGAATGTCTGCACATCAATCTTTATCTATCTTTCCATTAGTTGTAAACACGGATAACCAATAACTTAACCACAATTGATTGCTAACTTAAGCCTGTTACATCCCATGGAGGAGCAAAGGCTACCCACGAGCATTCTCCATCCGATTCTGTCCTGGGCAATTCATCTCACTTACTATTCATCCTTTTCATGTCTGCTTCCAATTATCGACGCAGTATATTATTTGGCCTTCCTCTTTCCCGTTCCCCTTCACGATTTCAAGTTAAAGCGCTTGACTCGTGATGCGGTTTGATGATTCCCGTAGTGTATGTCCTATCCACTTACAACGTCGTTTCCTAATTTTCTCCTCAACTGCAAGCTAGTTTGTTCTTTCCCACAATAGGCTGTTGCTGATGGTGTCCGGCCAATGGACATTGAGTATCTTGCGCAGACAATTGTTTACAAATACTTGTACCTTTTTGGTAATAGTTGTGGTAGTTATCCAAGTTTCTGCTCCGTACAGTAGAACTATCTTGACGTTCGTATTGAAGATTCTGACAGTTGTTTTGAGTTGCATATGTTCTTCACTCGTAGAAATGCTGTTATTGCTTTGCCAATCCTTATCTTTGCGTCTGCATTAGATCCTCCTTGTTCACCAATGAGGTTGTCCAGGTACGTGAAAGTTTTCTCCTCTTCTAGAGTTTGTCCATCAAGTGTGATCAGGTTGGTGTTCTCCGTGTTGTGCTTAAGGATCTTACTTTTCCCCTTGTGTATGTTGAGGCCTACTGATACAGAGGCACCTGCTAAACCGGATGTCTTGACCTTCATTTGTTTGTGTGTATGGGATAGAAGGGCCAGGTCATCTGCAAAATCCAAATCGTCTAGTTGAATGAAAACTGTCCAATCCATTCTTTGCTTCCCATCAGATGTCGAGGTCTTCATAATCCAGCCAACCACTGGAAGAAAGAGAAAGGGAGAGAGTAAGCAGCCTTGTCTGACCCTGGTCCTCACTTGGAATACGTCTATCAGCTTTCTTCTATGCACCACTTTGCAGTGCAGTCCGTCGTATGAATACCGGATGATGTTGACAATTTTGCCAGGTACACCAGTGTTGAGGAAGGTTCTCCAATCGACGTTGTCGAACGCCTTCTCATAGTCAAGGAAGCTGATGTATGCTGACGTCTTTCATTAAAAACGATTGTTCAAAAATGATCCGCAGTGTCGCGATTTCGTCTGTGCACGACCGATCCTTAAGGAATCCATTTTGTTGGTCTCGAAGCTGGGTGTCTACTGAATCTTTTATCCGGTTCAGCGACACTCTGTCGGTACCGATAGTGTGATGCCTCTGTAGTTTCCACATTTGCTCAAATCTCCTTTCTTTAGTATCTTGATGAGATATCCCTCTTTCTATTATGCTGGCACTTATTCCTTCTCCCAAATCTTCCTGAACAGAACATGGAGCATGTTTGCAGCTGCTTCTACGTCTGACTTCAGTGCTTTAGTTAGTATATTATTAGGTCCTACTGTTTTCCCACTCTTGATTTGTCTAATGACCATGCTGATTTCTTTGATAGTTGATGGAGTGGCATCTATAGGAAGGTCTGTGTATGCTGCTTCGATGTCCGGTGGGTTCAATGGAGCTGGCTTATTCAAGAGTTCTCCAAAGTGTTCCACCCACCTGTTCCTCTGTTCTTGAATCTCAGTGATTATCTTTCCTTCTTTGTCCTTGACCGGTCTCTCTGCTTACTATATTTTCCTGCCAGTTTCTTGATTGTGCCATTTAGCTGTCTCATATTTCCTTCTCTTGCAGCTTTTTCCGGTGTCCTTGTTAGGTCTTCCATATATTTCTGCTTGTCAGCTCTAATTCACATCTTCACTTGCTTCTGTGTATTCAGCTCGTGCCTTGACTTTCCCTGTCCTTGTTCGGCTGTTGCTAATTGCTATCTTCATGATCTTTCTTTCTCGAATCTTGCCCAGGGTTTCGATGGAGATCCATTTCTTATGATGATGCTTCTTGCGGCCCAGCACCTCCTTACACGTTGAAGTTAGAGCTTGTTTGATCCCTTTACAACTGCTCTCCATAGTAGTTTCTACTGGATAGCATTCATTGTGATTTCTCTCTTTCTTTTGAAAGATGCTTTGATGATCCTGGATCCATGAAATTCCCATCCTATAAGTACATTTTGTGCTTCTTTGGACATCATCAGAGCGACTTCCTGAGTGTTCGGAGCATTTCATTCTTCCTGACCAGAGTACAGAAACATTTCTTCCGAATCTATCCTTTTCTGTCCAGCTTGGTTCCTTTGGGTTTCACTGATTCCAAGCACCAACAAGTTGAATCACCTCATTTCCGTAATTGATTGACACCCACAAAATACGCACAGATATTTCGACATTTTACTGACACACACACACGCAGTTTCCATTGCGTTTTGCCTCATGTATGTTTTTGGATTTGTTTAGTTATTAACAATACACTATCTCAACAACTGATATCCATAGTACTACTAGAACCATTGACTTGCTAAAATGCTCAGCTAACGAGGCGTTATGTTATAGACGAGTAAAGAAAAATTAACCTCTACAAAATAACCACTGAAGACCAATGGTTGTTTAAGGTCGATCCATGATGAAAACTGCGAAAATTAAAAACTTTCACAAACCTCCCTATACTGTCATAGAACTTTTTTTATACACATTTCTGTAAGATAATTCGTGAATATCTTCGATTTAATCACACATATTGCATTGTGTATTCAGAAAACTAGTGGGTAAATTACTTTACTTCTAGTGACTGAGAATATGCTTTAAATATCTCCTTACGCGAAAGAAACCTGTAGCGTAAGTAAAGAAATAAAGTAAGACGAAACAAACTTAGTTTAGACTATTAGTCTTGTAAGAACATAGACAAAAGCAGACAAATAATCAATAAAGATATTGCCTTTGATTAGGACAGCTTTGATAACCTTCCCAATATTAATGCTATCACATTCAAATGCGGGAAAATACTCACACAACACAGTCCAACACTATGACATATATATACTCCGGAAAAATCATCCCATCTTTTTCCAATCAAATTAACATACTATGCTACAGATAAACAATATAAAGTATTTGCTAAAGATGAATGTTATCCAACTGTTTCTATCTAACCTCAAGTAGCTAGAGAATGTTAAAACAGAGTTGAGATTTTATCTGCAAACCATGCTAATAGTAAGCAGAGATGGATAGTGGCTAGCAGTGGAATCCAGGACGCGCGTTTCGTCCTATTTGGGACTCGTCATCTGGATGTACCTGCATCTCAGAGTTGATGTTCACTCTGGGACTCGAACCCAGTACCCTCGCTTCAAACGCCATCGCGTTATCCAGTCGGCCACTGAGTCCTGATAGCCACTTGCTTGTGCGATGGGGTGAAGTTTAAATTCAACTTAGTATTGTTTGTTTGAATCTTCCCATCGATTTGTTAGGACTGCAACTGGTCAGTCTCTAATTGGCATATGTGCATACTGTGCGTATTGCCTCGATGTACCTTAATTCACAAGCATGGTTAGCAGAGATGGATAGTGGCTAGCAGTGGAATCCAGTTTGACGCGCGTTTCGTCCTATTTGGGACTCGTCAGCTGGATGTATCTGCATCTCAGAGTTGATGTTCACTCTGGGACTCGAACCCAGGGCGAATCGCGCGTCCTGGATTCCACTGCTAGCCACTATCCATCTCTGCTAACCATGCTTGTGAATTAAGGTACATCGAGGCAATACGCACAGTATGCACATATGCCAATTAGAGACTGACCAGTTGCAGTCCTAACAAATCGATGGGAAGATTCAAACAAACAATACTAAGTTGAATTCATGCTAATAGTAGTTTGCAAATAAATTTTCCCCTACTTAAAATTAAACCTTACATCGAGTCAAACAAAATGCTTCGATAGGGATTGGTGAACTTCTTGGGATCAACTTAATGTGCTTTAAGATATATATATATATATATATATATATATATATATATATATATATATATATATATATATATATATATATATATATATAATATTATCAAGTAGAGAAAAAAAAGTGTCATTTGTTAGTTTCCCTTCACGACCCGTAGCTTCTTTACGCGAGGTCACCGAACGAGAACATTGCTGAGAACACATAAAAATTGGTATACCATATAGATTACCCAAATCATAGTGAATTTGAGAGCTATTACAGACAAGTCACAATGGTAGGATATACCAGCTGCACAGAGCTAATTAACAGTGTGATTTATCAATAAAAGACTTTACATTCCACGGACAATATTGAAAGGTAGCATAGTTTTGTGATATGACCAACTAAACAGCCCAGTAACTAACAACACAAATTTGCCCTTATTTATTTATTTAATCACACATATATTGGTACAAAGGGCATCGGATACATATGCGCCACACAAAATGAGAATG